AAGGAAACTCGGAGGCTCAAAGAATAGCTATTTGGGAGCAAGAGGTAAAAGTCTGGAGTGATAAGAGGTTGGGGGGATTGGAAGATTGTATGTGTGTATGAAAGCATCACACTGAGTCCCATTAATATGTACAATACATGCTAATAAAAATTTAAAATATTTGAGAGTTGGAGAAGTTCTAGGTAATTGAAAGGTGCAAGTGTGGTGTGTGTGTGTGTGTGTGTGTGTGTTCACCCTCTCTTTCTTTGGGAAATTTTCCCTCTGTCATTACAAGTGGTCCTGGTGGAATAGTTCATCTTCATGCCTCACCCCACCCCACCCCACCTCACTGGTCACCACCTGGCTCCACCGATTGGCTCGAGGTTGGGTACAAGGATTCAGGGGTGGGACTTGGGTGTCTTCTTCTCAGCCCTTGGGTTGTAAAGACCATTTTTCCTGACAGTATGGACAAACCCTTCTGCAAAGGGAGAAAACATGCCAAAATGCAAAGGCAAGCAAAATAAAGCAAAAATAAGAGATGAATAGAAGCAAAAAGAAGCCAGACAATAATTTTGAATCCCCAGATCAAGCCATGTTGAGGCTACTCTACACCTGAATCTTTCAAATGAGCCCTCACACTTCTCTTTTCAGCTCAAGGTAGTCTAGTTTGCATCACTTCCACTGAAATTTAGGGTATGAGTGGCTGAAGCAAAGGTAGAGAAAATGTATGAGAACTGAGTAGGCCCGGGATCTAAGGATGAGATTACCTGGGTTGGCCTTACAGGCATTAAAGTCACCCAAAATGAAGACACTCATGGGGTGGAAAAGACTAGTATAACTTTTGCAAAAGTCTAACCAGGGAGAATGGACAGGATACTAAGGTAAAGCAATGAGGACCAGTGGAAAATTATGCTTTTCTTAGCAGGAGCTTCAAAAGAATGTTAGTTTTTATACAAAGGTGAAAGAATGAATAACATTATGGATAGCATGTTGGGGAAGGAGAAGCATCCAGATCCCACTTGCTAATGAGAATCTACATGGAGTGCATGATAATGTAGATGAGATCACTACTCTAAACTGGGACATGACTTCCAAGTCAGAGGTTGAAAATTAGACTCCAGTTCTAAGTCCTAAGTATTATTACAACATCACTATTGACAGCTCTTCGGCCCAGCACCACTTGACCTTGAACCACTTGCTCTTCCTCTATAAAACAGACTATAAAGTGAAACTGGAAATTTAGATAGATCATAGGCTTATATTTTTCCCAGTTATTTTATGAACATATTTAGAGTCTCAGTGACCTAAACAATACCCAAGTAGCAATTTCATTTGTGTATTTGGTAGAAGAGTCAGCATTAAATATTTGAAAACCTTATCTAAAAATCTCATCAACCTAATGCCAACTCTGGAATAAGTGTCACAGAGGAGAGCCAGAAACCAGCTGGGATTTCAACAAGGAGGGAAATGGCTTTACTAATGAACTCTCAACTTCTCCAAATGACAAATAAATAGTTAATGTGTATATGAACTATATGCATGTACAGAATTTTATCCCACATGCCCTTTCCACTGAAAATCTCAAGTGCTATCTTAAAATATTTCAAATGTTCCTGTATGTATTAAATATTATTGTGTATATTCTTGAGTCATACAGTAGAAATATTATATAAACATATATTTGGGTAAATGGAATGTAATAAAGAGAAAGTACAGTACTAACCACTAAATGATTCTTACAGGAATCCTGACATATAATTAATGATAAATCAAAAGCGTGACACATTATCCTTTTAGCTGATACTATTTGAAATATCTTTGGTAGGGAAGGAAATAAATTTCCAGAGAAGATGAATTAAATTTTAAAGATTGTATTTAGAAGATGAAAATGGAGAAAATATACAAAAACATCCGCTCCCAACACACACACCAATGACTGCATCCCTGGGTTCCTGCTCCAGGGACATAGCAAGATCACTTCCTCCACTTAGGCAGGGAGTGGATCCAAAGCAGCAGTGAGAATGTAGCGTTAGGGTTAGGGTTAGGATTTGGCCCAAGACTATAGGCATGCCAGGAGCCACTCTACATAATTGTTTGGGAAAAATCATTTCATAATTAAATTATGATTAGGACTGTCTAAGGCCCAATGTCTTCTTGCCTGCAAGCTGGCTATGGCATGGGGAAACATAACTCCATTTTGCCTCCAGTCACAAGTTGAGGCCTCAATGGTCCTGTGATACTGTGATGCTCAAGGGCAAGATTACATCAACTGAAGACACCTTGGTTCAAAAGAGAGAGGTTTCACCTGGTGGGGGACAGATTCCTTATTAACCTACTATCTAGTCCCACCTACTATTGTAAGAATGTTTTGCCCATCTCACCATCCTCATCAACATATGACCCTCATGACCTTAGATCCTCATCAACCTAAGATCCTCATCAACATAGGATTACTGTCACCCTCTGAGTCACTTGATATTCCCTCCAATTATTGTGTGCATGCAATAAATAATGGCTGGCTCAGAATGTTTTTGTCTTTGCCCACTCTGAGGCACTGACCTCCCAGCCACCCATGTATTATGAAATTATGCAAGTCTCTATTGTCTTTCTTTCTTTACCCCTCACCATCCCCCTTTTTAGGCAGATCAGAGGATTGATCAGCCTGTGATATGGGCATCCCCCTACAAAGCTTCTCTGACCTCTGGTGGGTCCAGCTGGTGCCCCCAATCAGGGCTGGAAGGTGCATTTGCGTACTAGCAGAATATAATGTTCACCAGCCTTGCACACCAATGACAGAGGGCAAGCTGGACAGAGGGCCTGCCCCTCTGAGCAAAGCTGTGGTCACTCTCCCTCTGTGAGTCTATCATCCAACATGTGTCACTCACTTACTTTGTTTGATTTTTCATTCTTTTTTTTTCAAAATCTACATTTATTAGATACCAATGTCATTCAAAGAAGTTCTTCACTTTTCCTCCCATTTGATCACTTATATTGGTAGGAAACTGAATTAGATGAGAACCAAATCAAATTTCCCCATAAGGTCAACATTGAACCTAACCACTGACTTTGAATCAGTTCTTGTCCAGTTCAGTTTACAACCAAAATCATGGAAAGAATTAAGTTTGTGAACTGAGGTACCACTGTATCTTGAACAACAGTGTGGATTCTTGGTTTTTTTAATTATTGAAAGAATAATAACCAAAGGCATAACATTTATCAAGCTTAAAATTATCTAGTATTATCTAGTATTATCTAGTATTGAGTCCATATTCAAATTTACCCAATTGTTACAAAAATACTTACGTGCTTTTTTATTGAGACTAGATTAGATCTAGTCTCAAACTTTGTAATTGATTATTGTTTCTTTAATCTCTTTCAGAATAGGAGCACACCATGCCTTGTTTGTAACATTGACTTTCTTGTAGCTTGAATAGAGTTAATTGTACATTTTTCATTTTCTCTTAATGTTGGGATGTACTAGATCTGTTTTTTGCTTTAATAACACATTAGTGCTTCTTTCAGAAACTATAAAAAACACATTTCACGTGGTAAAAATAAGATAAATTATTTAAAAGAGATAACACATTTTCTCAATGAAGTTTGCTTGGTTTAGTTTGGTTTTGCAGTCCTGGGGATTGAATCCAGGGCCTTCACACTGAGCCAATTCTCAGCCCATTTCTTTCACTTTTTTATTTAGGGATGGGGTCTCCTTAACTCACTAAGTTGCCCAGGCCGGGCTCAAACTTGCAATCCTTCTGTCTCAGCCTACCAGAGTGTTGGGTTTACAGGCCTATATCACCATGTCCAGCTCTCATTGAAGTTAAGAATATGGTCTTCTGAAAAATATTTGTGCAATAGAAATTTTAAAGATGACATAATATAATATAGAATTAAAATAAAATCTCTATCCCAGAAAATTATCATTGCTGCAAGTATACTTGATCCATTGGTGAGTAAAATCATATGGAATTTCTTCATCTTACAGTTTTGGGTTCATACGAAGGTTTCATTCTTTAAGTGCTGAGGTCAGGCAGGTGTAATGAAATTGCCTATAATCCCCACTGAGGCAAGAGGATAGCAAGTTTCAAGCCAGCCTGAGCAACTCAGGGAGACTCTTTTTGAAATAAAAGATAGTAAATTTAAATTTTACAAAAGGACTGGGGATGTAGCTCAAAAGTGCAGCATCTGCCTTGCATGTGTGAGGTTCTGGGATCAATCTCCAGCACAGAGAGAAATAGTACTGAGGTTATCCCTGTTCAAACATTTAAAATTACCACCAGATACAGGCTGGTGGCAACATTTAAAACAAAGTTTCTTACTGAATCTCAGACCTCTGTATATTTTATCCAAATAAATTAGTTGCTTTACTTTTCAAAGAACAGAAAAGTAGAATACACTCATCACTTTGTCATTTTTGGACATTATTAGTCGTAAGGATGTTTTCCTTCTTCATGCTGGCTGTTTTAGTTACTTTTCTTGTTGCTGAGACAAAATACCCAACACCCAAAGTTAAAGGAGGAAAGGTTTATTTAGCTCACAGTGGCACATGGCAGAGGAGTGTCACAGAGGAGAAACAATTCATGGCACCCACACAGTAGCAAAGCAACAAGGGACCCTAATAGCATCTTTCTACCCCTTTTATATTATTCAGACTACTTAGGGCAGGTGGCACTCATGGCCTTGATCCTAGTGCCCTCAGGGCCTAGCCCCACCACCAATCAATCCCACACTCTAGATTCAGCCACCTCTGAAAAAGCATGAGGCTTTGAGGGGCCATCTAAACACAGGCCAGAACATTCCACCCTGGCCCCTCAAAGACTCATGCATATCCCTTTATTTAAAAAAGTATTTAGTCCATCTCCAAGAGTTCCCAAGGACTTAATTGTTTCAGCATTGCTGAAAGTCCAAGTCCAAAGTCTCCTCTGAAATTTAGGGCAAACTCTTAGCTGCAAGTCCCTGTACACATGAAAAGAAAGTTAAACACTTCCAACATTCAATGGCACAAGATAGACATTTCCATTTCAAAGATTGCAAGCAGGGGGATACAAAGGAATGGGACCAACACAAGACCAAAATCCAGCAGGAAAAACATTAAATCCCATATTCCCACTTCCAGCATCCCCAACAATCTGTGGCAAGTTGTGAACTCCAAAGGGCTTGGGTGGCTCTGCCCTTACAGCTCTGCAGATAAATGTAGCTCCCACAGCTTCTCTCTTGGGCTGGTTCTGCTCCATCCTTGCAGTTTTATTCAGACAATTCATGCTCCTGGCTTCTCCAAACTTCTGGGGTCTGCACCATACCTTTGGCTTCATACTCACAGCTTCACACCCTGCCTGGCCTCCCAGGCCTTCTTCTGAAATCTGGGTGGAAGCCTTCCTGACTCCACAGCTCTTGCATTCTACATGCATCCAAAACCACCACCATGTGGATGACTCCAAGGTCTGCTGCCAGCTGGAGCAGTAGTCAGGCTTCCTTCTCTCTTGGCTATAGTGCAGTACCTATGAACCAAATCTCAAGGAACAACTTTCCTTGGCTGCCACCATTCTGGAACATGGTGCTCTGGGGTTTTCTTCTCAAAGCAAAGTCTTTCCCTTTTCCAATTTTGAGGCTGCAAAGGGTGGAGTCCTGCTGCTTCTTGGGATGCCCTCAGGCCATCGTTTCTATTTTCTTGTTTCTTCTCAGCAATCAAGATTTCTTCTGTTCTATCTTTCCAGGCCACATCTTTACTGGTGCTTCCTTTCTGGCCAAAGTCAAAATGTTTTAAATCATTCTGCTGTCCTCTTTCCTTTTGAGTCTCAACATAAATCTGGCTAAAAGTCCCTAACAGTAGCCATGCCATCACCTCAACATTAGACTGCCTTGAAATTTCTTCTGCCAGATTAATTAGTCCACCACCCTTAATCTCAGTCTCAGGCAACGTATCTGGACACAAGCAAAATGTAGACAAACTTTCTGCCAAGGCATAACATGCATGGTCTGGAGTCCAGCAGCTAATGCAGTCCTTCTTCCCAGAAGACACCTCCTGAGCCTGGTCTTTCTGAACTTTCTAAACTTGCAAATTCTGACCAGAATCTCCCATACAGTACAGCCTAAGGAATTCCAGCTCTACTTCTTCAGCCAGCATCTCCAAACCTTTCCTAACTGTTCCCCTTCCCACAAGCCAGTTCCAAATGCTCTTGAGCCACATGTCCAGGTAATGTCATAGCAATGACCCCCCTTCTCTGGTACCAAATTTTGTGTTAGTTACTTTTCTCTCATTGCTGAGACAAAATACCCAACACCCAAAGTTAAAAGGGAAAGGGTTTATTTAGCTCACAATTCATAGAAGTTTCCATTAATAATTTCCTGGCTCCAAGACAGAGTGTCACATAGCAGAGAAGGAACAGTTCATGGCGTCAGAAGACAGCAAAAGCAACAAGGGACCTTAATAGTGTCTTTCTGCCCCTTTTATCCCATCCAGACTACCGAGATTAAGGCAGTGCCAAACCAATCTCTCAGGTGTAGTGGTTTTGTATTCACATGCCCTTAATCCCAGTATCACACATTCCAGATTCAGCCACTTCTGAGAAAGCATGAGGCTTTGGGGGGACACCTTAACACAAGCCATAACACTGGCATTTCTACCAGCATCAAGATTCAGGAGAAAACCAGACCATGGAGTAGAAGAGGCACCGCCCTTGAGGCAGAGCCAAAGTGTTGCACAGCCTGGCTCCAACACTCACCAACAGCTACCTTCAGGAGCCCTAGAGGCACTGTACAATAAAACCACTAAAGCTTCTCCACATCCCCCTGGTCTGATGATTAAACATTTTATACAAATATTGAAATGCCACATTGTGCCCTATAAATAGGTAAACTTTTTGTGTGTCAAATAAAAATAAAAGTATATGTCAAAAATAATTTTAAAAAGCTTCTCCATGTGGTCATTATGAGAATTAAAGTGGGTAGTAAAACATCAGCTCAACATTTGCTAGCACTTGGAGACCAACCATATTAATTCACCATCCCATTCCCTGATCCAGTGGAACTGTTGGTCTCCAAGTGCTAGCAAATTAAATAATAGGTGTTTTTCATATGGAATATTTATCTAGGCTGGCACCTTGAAGCTCCATCTCTGCCCATGATATATTCGCACTATTAAAGTATCTCTTATCAAAGTATATAATACTCAGACACTGATCAACTTTCAAAGATATGAAGCACTTATGAAATTGAGGCTTGAGTCCATCTCTTAGCTCCAGCCTCCTCTAAAAATAACAGGGCTCAATGAAGAAGCTTCAGGTGGCCTTGTGGATGTCTATCCTGCCCAGTAGTCACGTCTTTGAGGCAGGCACAAGTCACAAAGTGATGCTGATGTGAATGGATCAATCTTTCAAGACATTTGATGATCTCATAATCTGGAAGAGCCAGAGTAGTCATGTTCAAGCCCAGCATTTGGGATACTACTTCCCTGAAGTCCACCAGCTGCAACAGCAAACAGAAAGACATTATAGGGAGAGAAAATATACCAGCTACTGCTGAGTCAGATCCAATAACAACAAATCCTGGAAAATCCAGATTTTCGTGAGGTAGGCATATTACCTACCCACTTTAGCCTTTTTCTCTCATTTATAAGATAAGTAGACTGCCTGCTAAACTACTTCTGAAGTCTCCTCAGGTATCAACCTTCAACAGTTTCATAACTACCTTTGAAATTCTAATGAGCTAAATGATGGTGCATTGGAGTCAAGAACACCAGTTAAGCAACCATAAATGAGGTTCTGATCTCACTAAGACTCATTTTCTCATCACCTGGGTTGCATTAACCAAATACTTACCTGGCTGGAATTTGGCACAAATGAAATGATGACTGTGCACACATTCTGTATTCCAGAGAGCACTACTCAAATGTTGGTATGGTTACATCAATGGATGATAACCATTTACACATTGTAAATTTACCAGAGCAGTGAGCTTCTTAAACAAAAGGAAAAACAAATGGCATAAAACAAGAGGATGAAACAAGATGAAAACAAGAGTAATTTTAAATTATTATCAAATCACATCACAGATTACTATATGACAGACGAGAATATGATTAGTCTGGGACCACTATTTGACCATCAAGAGAGCAACACTGGGTGTAGCAACACATTTCTGTGATCCTAGCACACTGAGAGCTTTAGGCAACAGGATTGCAAGTTCATGCCCAGCCTGGGAAAATTAGTGACTTAGTGAGACCCTGTCTCAAAATAAATTGATTACCAAGGGCTGGAGATGTAGCTCGGTGCAAGGCTCTGGGGTCAATCCCTAGTACCACCAAAGTGTGGGAGGGGGCAGGAAAAATGGTCAAAGTATGCTCCAGACCCTTTCAAGTTCTCCTAGGCTGGTTTCTGTGATTCTAAGGCTATTGCAGAAGCAGGTGAATCAGGGCTCTCTGCACATGCCTCAGAAAGTTACCTTCCACCTAGAAAAGGTACAATCCAACCTGAAGATGAAGTTACCTTAAAGAACACCAGTCAGCAGAGGATGTGAACCTTCCAGGCCACCATACCACCACCCCCAGCACTGAGGAGCAGAGCTGTCCCCAGAGCAGAGGAGGTGAACCTTTGAGGCCAACGTACCACCACCCGCAGTGCTGAGGAGGTGAGCCACGCAGGCACCAGCAGCACACATCCCTCCCTCCCACCACCACCCCTTTGAAATGCAAAGACATGTAAACAAGTCTCAAAACTAGACTTCTAGATCACCTAAAGCAAGCACAAAGGGAAATGAGATGGAACAATCTGATACTCAACCACCTGGACTTCCTGAACTGGCAACAAAAGAGGAGTTAGAAAAAATGAAATCAGAAATAATTTCTCAGATAACAACAGAGATTGTGCCCATAGTCCAAGACATAATTAATAAATCTAGAGAGGACACAGATAAAGAAAATAGAGGAGGGCCAGGGACTTAGCTCAGTGGTTTCACCGCTTGCTGCGCAAGCGCAAGCACCCAAGTTCGATCTCCAGTACCAAAAAAATAAATACAAATTAAAAAATAGAGGAGCTGAGAAACATGATGGAATCCCAAAATAGAAAACAAATGGAATCCATAAAACCGATGCAAACAGATTTCCAGGAGATTAAAAACTCCACTGAAAGTTTACACAGCAGAATGAGTCAATGTGAGAAGGGAATTTCAGATATAGAAGATAAGATTGCAATTACTGACCAGGAAAAGAAAAATTGCTCTAAAATAGTAAGAGACCATGAGAAATCAATCTAGCAGCTGCTAGATGATCCAAAGAAGAACAACATAAGACTGATTGGAGTCAATGAAAAAACAGGAGGGAGCACAGATGACATAAAAAACTGTTTACAGAAGTGATGACAGAAAACTTCCCAAGCAGAGGGAAAGAACTTGATAAGTGAGACATATAGGACTCCAACAAGCCTTGATCAAAAAAATCTACACGTAGACATATAATAGTTAAGATTCCAGAAACCCAACAGAAGAACAAAATTCTACAAGCAGTAAGAGAAAAGAAACAAATAGGGCAAATAATTCCTTTCACAATAGCATCCAAAAAACTGAAATACCTAGGAATCATCCTAACGAAAGAAATCAAAGACCTCTTCTCTGAA